GATACTTTATTATGTTATAGTATTTAAATGTATGCCTGAGAAACACATAATATTGGCCCTTTAAGAAAATATTAAGTTTCTCCTTCTCTGACTCCTCACCCAGCACAACAGTGATACATCATCGAGTGTGGACCATAAAAAACTCAGTCAGAAGAAGATGTCCAAAATAATGTCATAATGATTAGTTGCCTCACATATTGAAGTATAAACCAGACTGAAGTGTTGAAAGTGTGTTTAAGACAGTACCTTTTCTGGGGTCCGAGAGTCTGAAGCAGCTTCAAATACTGGAAAACCAGGTGAGTCACCTGTTGAAAACCACAAAACCCAACATAAAAACCATAAAGAATATGGATCTTTACAGCTCTGTTTTACCATCTGAGCTGTTTAAACAAAGAATATTTACAGTAAAGCTCCTACAGGTCTTCAACTCTAAAGCTCTGGTATTTTATTAGAATGTTGTGACATTTCAGGGAATGCGTTTTGCTTTATTGTCATGTCAGAATGGAGATTGATTCCTACTGTAACGTCGAAGCAAACGCGGCGGCTGATTAGCTTAGCTAGCTTTCAGACCGGGAGCAGTCCAGTCTCACTAATTAACACATTACGTCTTGTTTACAGTCAGGTTTTGTGCCCGACTATTTCTCGGCCGAGACCAGTTGCCAGGCAACTGGTGGGAGAGTACAGAAAGGTCAGCGGCATTGACCTTGTTGCAAAGAATGAGAACGTGAACAATGAGAACAAAAACATTGCTCACATGGAAACTGTTTAATATCAGCTGCTGCCAGGAGAAATGAGTCGATTAAAGGCCTGGCAGTGCTTGAAGGAATGCATCTTGTTTGTCGCCTTTTTGCACATGGAGTTTTCGACCAAGTTATTTTGGTCAAACCTTAAAAGTAATGTTCTTCGCAATCTCATACCATATTACAAGATCCCATAGTTAGTGTGTGTTTTGACCATCTCTCATCTACAAACACAAGTTTGAGCTCAATCTCTGTTAATTTGACAGAGTTAGAGCCACCTTTGTGTCAGCTAATACCAATTAGCTGAGGTGGCCATCTTGGATTGACTCCAAAGGTTAATGAGCTTCCAATGATTTTTTTCTTAAGAGTTACAATAAAATCTGCCATGTAGTTACTGAAATATTTTGCTAACAGACAGACACACACAGGCAAAACATTAGCCCCTGCCTTTCAGTACTCAGCAAAATGTAAAAGCTCAAAAAATAAAATCTCAAAAACACAAGACAGTACTTCTGAATCAACTGCAGTTTTTTTTAAATATCTGTAACTTTATTTGATCATGTTTTCTTTCTTCATATAAATTTTTTAGGTTACAGGTTTGCACATTTTAAAGCAGGCAATTTAGAACTAAATGAGAGAGTTTAAAAAAAATAAAATATTGATGCTATTTCAAGAAAGGTGATGTCAACCAGCTGACTGTAATCCTGTATGGGTACAACTGATACGAGACAAAAGTGAAATGGATTAGAAAAGATTTGCATATTTCTCCTTCTGAGTCGCATAAATCATTAAGTAACTGAAGAAATGTAGAGGAATTTTAGTGCATATGTGCAGAAAAAATAGAGACAAAATATGTGGAGATATAATCAGAGAAGAAATGGATGCCTTAAGAATAAATTTAAAAAAACTTATTCAAGCATTCAGTCATAAGGGTCATTGCAAAAACACATTTGTAGGATTTCTGTAAGCTAACATTAGAAAAACAACGTGATATTCTGCTTATATAAAAAATGACTGAACTGCTCACAGTCCTGACCTTCGCCCAGAGAAAAAGGAAAAAAAAAAAACTGGTGGAGAATTAAAACAAAAGCTATAAAACAACCCCTTAGTGTTCCACACAAAATTGAAATGATTTGCTAATCTTATAAACTGATTTTATTTATTTTATTTAACCTTCATTTCAACAGGCAAAACATTAAGAACAGTTTCTTATTTACAATGTTGGCCTGAGAGTGATATTTTATTCTCAATGGGACACAGTAAACATATAAATGTCTAAAGTAAAAATGTACTATTTTATCTGGAAAAATAAGGTCACTTTAGATTTAACGCAACCCTCAAACCTCAAAAAATTTGGGAAAGACTATTATTAGGTGGAATTAAAAAAACAGCTAAAAGAGCATTTTGCAACTAATTAGGTTAATTGGCAACAGGTTAATAAGGGAGACTGGTTGTAAACAGTGTATTTTAAAGGCTAAATCTCTCAGAAGTAAAGATGGACAGGGGTTCACAAGGCTGAAATAAATAAATAAATAAATAAATAAAAAAATAAATAAATTAAAATATTAAAGCAATTCCAGAATGAAGTTCCTTTTTTTGTACAAATCCTTTGGAACACATTTGAATATTTGACAGGTTTACTTTGTTTCTATATGAATAATATTTGAGTTTTTAAAATCATTATTTCCTGTTTTTATTTAGGTTTCACACAACGTCCCAACAAAGTCAAAACTGGTGCCCTATATCAACAAACATTACAAATAAACATGCTTCAGTGTAAAATCAGGAGTGATAATGATAAAAATGCTTCAAGCCTGACAATGGTTCCACACGACTGTAAGCACTGGATCAGTTTTCTTCAGTGACAGCAGACTGTAATGTGTATGAATACTGAACAGAAACAAACAGAAATCTGCTTTGTGTAATAGTTGTCAGTGATCTTGACATCTAAAGATCTGATTAGACCTTAGAAAAATGAACCTTTCAGATGTCGATTACATGACGTAACTTTTGCCATACTAGCACCTCTGACTTAAATCCAACAGGCAGGTTTTCAAAACGTCTGTGTTTTGTTTTTTACCCCGTTACGTTTTGTTTGATGTAAAGTACTTTAGAATGTGTTTTGCTGTCATTACATTTAGCGAAATGCAGTTAAATAAATCGTGTGTCTGCTTCTTTAAAAGAGCTTTGAACACCTGTGCCTGTAGCAAACCATCATGGTATAAATACACACACAGGTACACTTTTTAGTTTTCTTCCATCCATAAAAATTTACAACAAATCACCAAACCACAGCTGAGACTAAACACCTGTCTGTGTTAGAATCCAACGTGTGGACAGAACAGGAGCAGAACCTCTTGAGGTGAAATAGCAGAAACTCTATTGCTCAAACCTTTATAACTCAGTCGAGTAAAAAACATTTTTTTGTAATCTTATTTATGGAGATGAATTAGTCTCACAAAATTTCAGCAAGCAGGAACAAGATTTGCATGTGCAAAAGTGCATGGATCACTCTGCATTGTTGCCGCATGACCTGTTCACCTGTTCCCCCATGTTTTGTCATGTGTGTCTTCTTGAATGGGTGTTCTTAAAGTGTATCTTACTCCCCTGTGAAAAGATAACTCCGCCCCAAGGCGAAATTTGAAAAATGCATCAAAGTGGGTAGGGGAGGGGGTGTGGGTAGGGG